GAAAGATTTTTTCAAACGAGCCACGATTGGACGGCTTCATAGAAAACGGCAGATGGACGATACACGACGAGAGACGGCGCTGGACGTTTGCCGGCTACGAATTGAAATGCAACGCATAAAACGAGCCGCGCGGATCGTGCGAGGAATCGCAGGGAAAAAGAACGATCGTCTCGGAAGAAGATCGATCAATCGGCGGGCAGACAGCGTCGAGCGTCCGTACGCGCGTTCGTACACGGGCGTCGCGATCGGCCGATTAATCTTCGTGGTGCGTGAATCGACGGAAGTGCCACGTCCACGCAACCGGCTCGCCGTGCATTTTGTATGAAGTCATTTGCATCGAACGCGGCCACGAAGTGTGGCCTATAAATTACCGGCGCGTCCACGATAACTGCACCGCGACCGAAAGACAATAAACTCTAACGATCGGCCGATGCCTTCTGTTTTGTCCTCTTTTCATTCCGGGTCGCGGGCCGAACAAAGATCTTTATTTTCTTCGCGTTACGTTCCCTTTTGTTTCTTTCCGTTCGTTCGACTTCGACGGTCCCCCGCTCGTATGAAGCCTGGACGAGAACCGCGGACGTTGTTACGATGCAAATCGTATATATACGTAGATAAAAATGCCCGAAGAAGGAACATGGAAATGCAAACGTAAAATCGCGTCATTGGACTTTGGGTTCACGGAATTTTTATCACGAGTCGGAGGAGAACAAGGTCCGAGGAAGCTCGCGCGTGCAAAAAAAAAAGAGAAGTCGCATACTTGACACGGCTGACCAGCTATTTTTACCATGGATACGTTTGAAATTCAAATTTTTTGGGGAATTAGATGAGAACGATGGACATGCACGCTTCGGAAAACAACGTAGAATTTTTCAGAATGTAGCCTTCGGCCCGAAGTCGAAGGCTTATCTTAACGTTTCATTGTCGAACTTGTAAACCGTAATCGCGACAAATTTTACGAGCCATTCGAGGCAAATAACGAATCGGTAAACTGTACGATTCCGAAGGACAATGGATCGAATTTTTATTTCGCGTGCTGTCCCTGCGAGAAGGTTTCGCCGCCGTGTTTTACGACACACTTCTGTGGGCCGGTTGCGACAGAAGGAAACTAATAAATTGATAACGAAAACTACGCGGCCGTCTTTTTATGTGTCCGAGCAAACCTTTTAACTTTCCTTAGGGTAAAACACGGTCAAAGAACCCTGCATCGTTAAAAACACGTTACTTTCGGTTTATGACTTCGGTGTGAATAGGCTTATGAGTTTATGCGCGGCCATAAATGCTCGGTGACAGTTTCGTCAGCGTAGAGCCGAACTATGTATTAGCCGGCTATACGGTAGCTCTAAAAGTTTTAAGTAACAAGAATTAAAGAAGCAATTTTTTACGATCGCTTCAGTCATTCCGTTTATGGACGATCCTGCTAAAAATAAATTCCGATTCGAGATACACACCAATGAATAATTTACCATCCGATTATCACGCCGACCATTTATACCTTACATTTTGTGCATCGCGTGGACTTCGGGCTTGGAAAATCTTTCGGCGAACGATCTTTGCATCTATTACGGTTAAAAGGACACCATGGCGAGTATATTGTGATTAATCATGTTTAACACTGGATCTACGGAGCACCAAACACAGCTGTTTTATATTAGTTTATAAAAACAACAATAAGACATTTATTCTGATTTTTAACACATAAATTGAATAAATAACTGACAAATGTATCTTTACGATACGAATAATCGTAAATTAAGACGGGTTCTATCTAGTGTCAATATCGATAGTGCCAGCAAATGAAGCCAAATGTATTTCAATATTATATGATTTATTGCAACTTCTGAACGTTACAGTAAGCATATTGGCTTATACAACGTTTATATTTTTATTTATAAAGAATTCTCTTTCGCTTAGCACCCAGGTTTCTTCTTTTAACCTGCCCCCTTATAACAGCTTTCTGGACACACATTGGCTTTAAAAAAATTATTCCATTCCGCCAGCAAACCGAATTAAATAGTAGGCTACCGTAACGCAACTATCAAGCTTAATTGCTTCGGTTTCATCCGAAAAATACAGTAGAATAAAAGTCCTTCGCGATACTTTTGCATTACGGTTCTAAACAGCTATTTTTCGAACCCTCTCAAGCCCTGCTTCGAAGCAATTCTTTCATTCCGTCGTCCAATCAAATTAAACGGAACGCTGTCGAAACCTCGAAAATCGATCGCCCAACCGTTTTCGATTCGGTACGAAAATCGTTTACGACAAAACAGACGTTCGAACATGAAACTCCGGCTGGATCCCAGACGAGAAAAGACGATTTCTAAAGTTCGAGCCCGCGCCCACGCATCCGCAGAGGCGGGTAAAGCTCGACGATTTTGCGGGCTTATGCTTCATTTAATCGTGATCGGCGGAAAGGGGTCCCCGCGCGACCCGCCGCGGCGGATGCGCGGCGTGTAAATTCAAAGGCGGCTTTTCACGCGACCCGCGACCTTCTCCATAGCAGTCGGATGCGACTTGAGTCGTTTTATACCGGCGCGCGGCGTTGTATCTCTTGCTAATGAAGACGCATACACCGGTGACGTTGCGCCGCAATAATGAAGATCTACGGGCGAAAGTAAGCCGCGGCATCGCTGCCAGCCATGTATACACGGGCAAGTATACAGCCGCGCGAGCGCACACGCGCGCACAGGGAAAGCCGTGCGTGTGTGTGTGTGTGTGTTGGCACCGGGTACGACTGAAAAGGAGATGGTAGCGCGACCACGAAGAAATACGCGCGAAGAACCCGCTCGGCGGGTCGGATGAATGGCTGATGGTCCGTGGAAGAGGAGGCTGCGCGGCGCGCCGGGTCTCGCTGGAAGAACGTCCGCTAGAAGCGGATTCTCACGCGTCGCCTTTTTACCGGGATCTATGAATTATCGCCTACGCCGCGATTCAAACATTCCCGTTCCGTCGCAATCAACAGATTAAAACCGAGCTACTGTATTTAAATTGAGCGCGCCGTTTAGGGAGCCCGCGTGCTGATTTAGTGGCCGATCGAGGAAATTAAATAGCTTGTCGCTGGGAGACACGAGTTACTCGAGGGATCGGTGTAACCAGTTATCTTTTTTTCTTCTTTTTCTTTCGGATGCCGTCGAACAGGCTCGTACACTCCGCGACAAAAAGACGGCACCGCCTCGAGAATCCGATGTTCCCGACATTCGGAGATAACGTATGTACTCTTTCTTGGAACTTGTGCATTTTTGTTACGGAACGAACTACAGAAATGTCTGCCAAACTGACGCTCGGATTGTGCACGAAAATGGACAATTTGGGAAGAGGAGATACGATTATTCGAGCCTTGCGGCACGTTTTCATAGATGTTGACAATTCGTGACTATAAAAGTGAACCGCAAGGATCGAACAATCGTATCTCCTCTTCCCAAATTGTCCATTTTTCTGGACAATCTGAGCGTCAATTAGAGAGACATTAATGTACATCGAAAACGAAAAATGAAAGAAATAGTCCGTTCCTTTAGATAAACGAAACAGGAACGAAAAACCAGTGCGATAATACGATGGCACGTGTACAAGGAAAACGCGAATCCGTGCTTGAGACGATAACATAAACTACATAACATTATTCTGAATTCTTTGCAAAGCCTACTTTAGTTTGCAAAACAGTTCGGACGTAAATTTTTTCCATTTTTGGTCAATATGTACTTCGAAATCTTTTAAATCCAAAGGCACTGAAATTGTTTTCCGCCTTCGTATCTCGACGGTTGTGCCTAATTATTTTCATTTATATCGAAGAATAAGAACGAAAGAATTTATATTTTATTTACGAAATGATGCTTTACCCATTTCGTAAACGTTTGCTTTACCCAAACGCACACTTGTATTATCCCGATGAAATGTAAAATATTCCCCGGGAATTGTGCGTCCGGATTTATTTAACGTCCATCGAGCGTACGTAAATCTTGTTGTTCATAGTTTCCCTAACGTCGTCATTTGTTGCACTGGTTTCTTGTTCTATTTTTGTTCGTACAAACAAACGGACCGTTTCGTTACACTGTTCGTTCGCGATGCAGTTTATTTCGCAATAAAACACGTATAAACACAACGAAAAAGTACATTTATTATCTCGAAACGATGAAAACATTGGATTTTCCGTGACGTGCCTTTCTTTTTGTCACGGAGTGTAGACCGTTTGGAATTTCAATCTTGACTCCTTGCGTCGCGTTTCGAGGATCCGGAAATTCCGTGGTCGGCGAAACGATCGCAAAGAACGGAATAATTTCGATCGATGGATCCTCGCGCCGATGGCGCGATCCGCCTTCTGGACTCGTAAATGTCGGAATTACGAAGATATACTACAATATGTATAAACACGTAGCAAGCTGTGCGAGATGTTTCCGAGCGTGTCGCCTCGATCTCTAAGCAGAAGCCCGCGGGAAATGGCTTCTCCTCCGGCGTCTAGAAAAACGAGGCGAAATATCCGAAGCAAAATACCGAGTGCAACGAAGTATTTTTTAATAGGTTGCGGATACGAGTTCCCACCATCTGTCCCGTTCGAGTCGCGTTTCCAGAACAGCCTTACAAGAAAATATTTTTTAACGATCAATTAAGACGCCGCGCGGATCCTTCTCCCAGCAATAAAAGAATCAATTACTAGCGGGCTTTCATCGTGTGCGGATCGCTCGGGAATCAGGTTTCAGGAAATGTGGTTTATTAACGAGTACATTTTTTCCGATTCCTTTCTAACTTCTCCGTAAAAGGTAATGCCCCGCGGTCGGTACAATATCTCGTGGCACAAATTCAGTTCTTCTTTCACGATCAACGACCCTTTTTACGGCGAGATCGTTGCAATTTATCGCGGCGGAGGTATATCGAGAAAGATGGCCTCCTCCGTGCAAAATCTTTCGTACGCGCGGGACAAAGAAAAAAGGAAAGACAGTTCGAAAGACGCGAAATCGGAGAGACGCATTTTTATTTTATTTACTAAAGGTATTCGATCGTTGACTCACCATGACGTAGTGACGCTGCATCTCCGTCTTCTCCTGGGCGAGTTTCTCCAGCTCCAACTTAATACTGCGCAAAACAAACAGAAAAACACATGTGTGAGCGAAACATTAGCGAGCGGAGCCCCGGTCTGGGAAAATCGTTGGAATTTCAATCATGGGAACCGGTAATCGTCGTCTTAAAACGGTAAGAATTCGGTGAAAGCTAAAAACTTGTCGGCGTCTACTTTGATATCGATTTCGCTAATTTATTATCTCGGCGATCGAAGTTCGAGATATCAAAGAGCTGTGTAATTTAAAATCCACCGTTTCGTAGACTTTACGAACGACGATGCTCGAAATATTTTCTCTGCCAGTTACATAAAATATACGACGGTCAGTTTCTCGCGAACCGTACGTTAACAGTTAACCGTGCGATCATTCGGATAACAGAGACGGACGACGCGAAAAATTCCGACACAGCGCGTTCGTTTCGAATAATCGTTCGCGCGGAACGGTTTTACCAAACTGTTCCATCTTCGGTAACAATCGAATGATCGCATTTTACGGGTCAATCGGTTCGTCGATGCGAATCGGGACACTTGGCGTGCATCAGGATCCGTGACGGGTAAGGAACGTGATCGCGTGTGAAACCGGCTCATTGCGTCGTTAACGTCCGCGATCTATCGGCGTTTAACTCTTTTCCGGTGCTCTCTCTCTCTCTCTCTCTCTCTCTCTCTCTCTCTCTCTCTCGCGAGACCGATTTTCCGCTTGAGTCGCGCCCCTGGATCGAGAATCGAGCGACGAGGGGGCGGCGCACGGCCAACCCATTAAAAACACACAATTAGTGCAGCCGCAAAAAAACATCGATAATAGTTGTTGCACGCTGACCACGGCACTTGAAAATCGTGTACAGGTGTCCGGCCTCCACCGATTTCTATCTGTCGCTCTATCAGCGCGACGAGACTCTGAACGCACCGCAAAAAACTACCGGAAGCAACGCGATTGCGTGAACACGCTCCAAAATCGAAGAACGTTCGCTCGCATATCGATCCATTAGCGATGCGAAGCAGCGACGTGCATGCAGATTTTGTGCATCGACTCCATTTTCTACGAATCAGCGCCTGAAAGTTCACGTTTCATCTGTATTCGATGTAACAGGTCAAAACGCTCATCGTTATAATTATTTTCATTAACGATGATAACATCGTGAATTTTTATGCAAAGTAAAAATTCGTTGCATCAATTGCCAGGAGCAGAGACTGTATAGAAAGTCTTTCTTTTTTCTCGATAGTTTTAATAGGTTCAAAATAATACATTGACATTTTTAAATTCTTAGTCTTTCAGCTATTTTAAAACGCAACTACTCAGTTTTGCCACAAATTTGTCCGATTACCGTACCGCGGATTTTATGCATTTATGATAAAAATGGACTAGATGAGATACCAGAGTTTGTGCACGTTAGAAAGATTGAAAAATATTGTTACCTTTTTCTGAATTTATTAAAATTATTAAATGGAGAAATACGGAGATTTTTCAAGCGCAAGACGAACACAGATATTAACGAAGTTAATATAAGTTGTTAAATCTCGTTATGTTCAAAGAAGCAACCAATGAATCTATGACGTTCGTTAACGCGAATATCGTCAATTTGTCTGTATAATTTTTTCGTCGATGATTTTCACGATTTTGATCGATTATTCCCTGCCAAGAGTTACTTAGATTATTAGAAGAGTTACGGCACTAACTTCCGGATCGTTTTTAAATGTTCAATCGACCAGCAGGCAACATAAGCGGATTAATTTTTCAACGAGCAACGAAAAAAGCACCGTGATTATAAATAAATAACAAGAGATTCGGGCGCGGGTTTCGCGGTGCAAAAGCGTCGACACGGGCCGAAACGACGTCGAAACCGGACAATCGCGCGTCAGCGATCGAGCGACGACACTTTTTCCCCGGCCAGAGGGAGCGAGTGATCGATCTTTATCGTAGGGAATTATTGTCGCGTCCATTCCGAGTAATAGAGCGTTAAATGGAAAATTAATTCCCATCGATCCGGCGACACGGCGATTCGCCGCGTAACGTACGCGTTTCTCCCCTTTTACGATGGCAGTAATTTTTTAACGACACCGAGAGACCGCGTCATATTTTTGTTTACCGGCCTGACAACGAAATAGACTCCGGGAACGGCACGCCGTCCCGGCAAAATTGCATCCACCGCCTCTAATAAATATGTGCTCGTAATAGTTGACTGCGCGGCGTAACTTCGTATGCAAAACGGGCCCGCGCGCGTATCGGTGGCCGCGTGTACGCGTTCCGCGCTTTTTCCGCGCACTCCGTTACGCGTTTCCACCCACGTTTCCCGGTGTTTTACGAACGAGCAGAAACGGTCCCGGCATCCAGATAATTCTTTCCCGACTTTTCCAACGTTACAACACCAATTACGCAAGAATTATGTCTCCGGACACCTTGTTTTTCATCTCGCCCGCTTTCGGATCCGAGCGGCCCCGAGCGGCTCTCTCTCTCTCTCTCTCTCTCTCTCTCTATCTCTCTTCATCCTGTCGCGAAATGGAAAGCAGAATGCAGCGCGATTCATTAACACCGCGATTTTGAGAACGGCCTACTCACCATTCACTTTAAAAGCTGGCCGAGCCTGCTGAATCACGATCACCTGGATCCGTGTTCTTTGAGACCGCGGCGAAATTTTTTCGGGTCTGACGAACGAATCGTTCTGGCTACCAATTATCGAACACCGGGTTAATGTGAACACGTGAACGTGCAATTAGCGTCTACGCTATAATTTCTTTCACTGCTACGTCGAATAAAACGTCTTCGTTCTTAATCGTTTTCCTGATGGAACGAGACAATTTTTGTTCGCCGCACGACTTCGTTCGCCGAAATTCCTAGATTCTGGCAACAGAAGAATCAAACCTTTTGCTTCCATTTAGGAGAACGAAACTTAGCGGATTATGTGTTATGGATTTATACGACTCGTTATGCAAGAGTTTAAATGTTAAAACAGTTCGCTTCTATAAAGTAACGCGTCGCTTGTCAAAAATGTAAAACGCGAAAGATTTTAGGAATCACGGATTTTGTTCGAAATTACCGGTAGGCTGCGGGTCTTTACGCAAAATAGAAACCAACTTTCGCGAAGATTTTTCCGCGACAGAGGGAGGAAATTTTAAATAACAATTTTCGTTCGCCGATTCGCGCGTTTCAGCCGCAATTAAGCAGAGTTCTCCTTCGCTCCTTTGGCATTGGCTGGCTGGCTCTAAAGTGGAAGTCTTACCGCGGAAGACGCAGGCACTGCAGTCAGACGTTTTCACGGTGGAACGAGCAGTTTCGCGGAATCTATATTTTCAGGTGAGCGAGGGAAACTCGGAGACGGGTCGCGGATTGATATTCCATTCTGTAAACAGCGGAGATTGAAATAACCGAGGCCGGAGAGAGACGCTTAAGCGGAATTTATTCCGATCGGTCGATAAGGTTTGCACAACCGGTGCGTCATGACAAATTTATTGCGCGATACGGAATTAATTTAAATGTCAATTAACAAATAGTGGTGGGCCGTCGGTTAAATATTAATTTCGATGCGCGGCGGCGAAACGCGGAGGGCGGCTTGTAATCCCGAAACTGCGGCCTGTGCAAACGGGCCCGCCCCCCGTGCCTTTTTTCCCCTCCCGCGGCTCGCCGTCACGTAACGCGTATTCTGTATTTTTTTTACCGGCTAGTTTCTCGCACTTCAATTTAAGGCTGCACAAGGGGAACAAGAACGCGGCATTAATATTCACCAGCCCTCCGGAGAACGAGCAGCCTTTGTTTGCCCCCCCTCCTCCCTCCCTCCTCCTCCACGATCCGCGTCGACGTCGACGCCGACGTCGCGACGTTAAATTAAAACGCGGCTCGCACGAGAACGAAAGCAACGAAGAATAACCGAGAGACGGTTAATACGCGACCACCGTCTTCCACGGAACAATGGGAACGATTTTTCAGAATCGCCGCCGAAGATTTTTCTAGCTGACGATCGAACCTGATCGATCGAACCGCATAAAACAATTTTAAAATTAATGATACACTTTTGTGAAAACTTTTACTTTAAATTACCTTTGGTAGTGTAAAAATATTAAAACGGCACGAGGAATAAACGATGAAGTTGCTATAAACTAACTTAACCCAAAATGATCTTAACAATTCGGTCGGTAAACGATGCGCTTGTTGATAAACGATAACGCTGTTTATTTCTCGAAATGAGGAAAACACGACTGAAACCGCTAACGATATCCCCAACCCCACTCATTTATAGATGCCACAAATTGATAAATACCGTTGTTTACTCGTTGGTCAAAATTTTAACAAATTATCGGATGCTTTACTCTTCGGTCTGAATAAAATATAAATTTGTATTGTCCATTCCTATCGGCGGGAATCACCTCTGAAAGCGTGTTCCATAAATATTCAGGTTTATCGAACGATCCTGGCTTCATTCTCGGCTGTGTTTTATGGTTCTGTGGAACGATCGATGCTCCTCCTAATCTAATGGAAAATTCACGGAGAAAGTTAATGGGAGCCCCGAACAAGGAAAAGCTATTGTTCCGCAAAAAAGGAACGCTTCCAATAATAACACATCGAAGCTCCAGATTATCAATCACGGAAACGTTTTGTGGATGGGGAGGACTTCGCACAGCAATTTCCATTCGTTACTGTAATTGGACGGGGCTCCGAAAGAAGGAGAGGACACTAAGGCGATTAACTAATCTCGCAGTCGCTTCGGGCGAAATTGAGTGCTACTGCGCGCGGCCCGTCGATGGAAATTGATAGGCAATTATTGTTCTCCGTTCGAGTCGGTCGAATCGGGGACGCGAGAATCCGACTAGCACCGGGGTTTCAACCTTTCCTTCTGCATCATTGTATAGGGCGAGCCATGTAATGAGACCGGGCGATTCGATTCCGTCCGGAACGGACGAAAATGAAAATCGAAAAATTGGATGGCGCGAGGAATCCTATTCTTCGGTGAACTTCCCGTTCACGTTTTTTGTTCGGACAAAACCATCAACTTTTCTCAAACATTTCTTGAAATAAAAATCATCCGGT